TAAAAATTGATGAGAACCTTAATGAGTTTATTTACTTTTATAACTTGAAAAAATAAATTGTAAAACACTCTAAGGAAGTTGTATAAATATAAAATATATAAGTAGTGCCTTAAATCTATTTTTAATCTTAAATAAGTGGTATAAATGGTAATAAATATTGTTTTATATAAATCCCATAAGAAGTTATAAGTATAACTTAAACCTAAATCTATTAATGATTATTTCGATTTATTATAGTCGCTCCTCGTATATTTATGTTTCTTCTCTTATGGTTCAACTTTTAATCTACTTATATATTCACCTTCTTATACTTTTCCTTTCTCCTTATATTTTTTACCTCACAATAATCCAAATTTTCCCTTAGACTTAAATTTCCCTTTTTATTATATTTATCCTTTAACTTAAATGTTTTAACATAAAAATACCCCTTCCCATTATATAATCATAAGGTAAATAAGGAACTTAAACTTACATATTTATAAACCTTGATTCTTCGTATCATAATATTTATATTCCCTTATTTTAGAAAGATTTCTCACGTATTATGGATATAAAATATAAACTTAAGGTATAACTATAGATATTACGATATTTACTTCGATTTTCTATAATTTAAATATAGGTTTCGTATTAGATATACCTCACAAGTTCGGATATAATAAGTTAATGCATTTAAAGAGTTATAAAAGTATATAAGATAATAGTAATGGAATATTACCTCCAAAACAATATATGGGATTGTAGCAAGAGATGCAAATATATAAATATTATGTGTGATGCAAGAGTTATAATGTTAACCCTCCAAATATCTTTTACCTAAGTTATACTATTTAATAAAATTATAAGAGATATAAACAAGTATCTTATACTAATAGAAATAACACATTTTAGACGTTTATGCTTATTTTATTTTAATCTCGTCATTCATTTAGTTCCGATATTTTAGATAATAATTATTATATCTTTATTACGTACTAAAAATGTAATAAAATTATTGTATGCTATTCATTATATTTCTTAATCTTTAATTTATTATATTATTATTTAATTTAGAATTGATACTGTAAAAGTTCCCTTTATGCTTATTATCTCGTACTACTTAAATAGGTTTAGAAACTGTTTATATAATTCATTACATCTTATATTAAACCTCTCCATAAACTAGTTTGGTATTTGATATTGTTTAAATATTTATTCCTCTTTATAGGCTATCGTACCTTTAAGTGGTCTTCTTTTATGCTTATAATCAGTAGTACCTGATAATTCACCATTTAGTCTAACTCCTTTAAAAATTTCCTTTTATTACGACTATGATTGGTACTTGATAAGCTGATCCATTATTTAGTTGTTTAAAACTTCTCCATTTATTAATACCTTTAGAATATCTACTTTAAAAGTAATAATATTAGCACATGTTGTATTTCTCTTTCTTGGAATAAATATCTTCATCCTTTATCTTTCGTATAATTTAACCTTCTAGTTCAACTTAATGCATTAGGTCTACTAATATTTATTCTAACGTATTAATTTACTAGCTTAGCTGTGTTTATAACATGTATCCTTTTACATTGCTCCTACTAGTTTGGTCTTATTCTTGTTGGATCAGATAGTTATAATCATACCTTTTATTTTACATAATGTACTTCTTTATTACCTTTTGTATTTGTAGATATTGGGATTCCTTTTAGGTTAACTTTATATTATTCGCTGATACCTGTCGTACTTTGATATTTATTTGGTGTAAGTAGGTCTTTTCTTAATTGGATTTTTTGACTCCAATAAGGAGTTTATCATATTGTAGATCGGTCTAGTATTAGGTTATTTTAGAAAGTTATTAACCAAATCTAATAATAAAATAGGTGATATTATCTTTTAAACTAACTATATCATTTTATATGAGTCGTTATGATATACTACGTTATTTATATTAGGGGTTATACCTATGATTTTTAGTTTATAGGTTTAATGGATATGATTCAAAGTCTATGAACTTCGTTATCATAAAAATGTTACAATAGTTTTTTTTATCCTAAAAATCTTAAATGATGACAAATATCTAGTCAAGCTATAGGTAAATATTAGAGTGTGTTAAAATGTTAGGAAATAATACATACACTTATATATAAGTCTTTCGATTATAAAGGGTAGAGATAAACAATAGGTGAAGTACTTATTTGTAGAATGATCACATTTTATATATTGGTTATGGAAAAAGAGGGATTTGAACCCACAATGAATAACTTCGATAGTTTAGTAAACTATTGCCATACCATTAGGCGATTTTTCCTATTTACTTATTAATGGAATTGAACCATTATTGGTAACTTAGAAAATTACTGCTTTATCCTATTAAGCTAAATAAGTTTAATAAACCAGGGATAACTAGTCTCCCCCTTTAAGAGGATCCTCTTCATACTTTTTATTTTCAGGATTAAAAGGACTTGAACCTTTATGATTTATTTTGGAGATAAATATTTTACCAATTAAATTATAATCCTTCCTTCGGTACAATTTTTAGGCGAGCCCTGTGTTATTATGACAGGCTTCATACTTTACTTTCCGTCCTTCGCTCACCTTTTTTGACGGCCAAAGTTTAAAAACTTCCCTTGAAGAACCGTATACCCCCTTGCCTTAGCTTCCCTTACATAGCCCTGTGCTGTCTCCCCTTACCCTCAACTCCTCACCCTGCCTCACTTAAATCTTTAATCAGGTGAGGGGATTATTTTTTTATTGTGAAGGGGTTTTTAGGGTTTCC